GTGGCACCTTTTTAATAATTTTTGGCATTGAATTATTGTTTTTTTTTCGCAATTTCTCGGAGAAGTTTTAAACGCTCTTCAGAGTTCTTAGACCTTACCGACTGGGATTTGCTCTTGGGGAAAGGAGATCGTTCAATTTCAATTCTCATTTTTTGTACTGACATAGGTATTGTAGTCTTCAAATTGCAAATCAGTTGAACCAGGCTCTCCTTCACACAGGTATTCCACCACACTCCTATCGGCACCCGGGTCTCCAATTTTACTGATAGTACTAAAGACAATATAAAACGTATAAGACGAACGTTAATATATTACAAGACTTTTAACTCTATCATCTCTTTGCTGAAGGACAGCTATCTAAAAAAGATAAGCTTACGGACCGTCTTTTAGCTGCTTTACTCGATGAACAGTACCTGGTTTACCTCTTCTTCTTATGTAGTAATCGTGAACATACGTCCATCTCTTACTGCAAACCAAGCCTAAAATGATAAAGATAATAAAACTCTAAATATGCTTTATTTTAAACTTAGGTATATTTTGTTTCAGATTTCAGATTTATTTTCAACTTATATTTTGTTTCAGATTTCTTGCTACTGGAGAATCATTCCGTTCTTTGGCGTTTCAATATAGGGTATCTCATTCATGTATTTCTCATATAGTGAGGCAAGTTTCACAAAGTATTGTGAAGGATATGCTAGACGTTTTACCACAACTAACAGAAGATTTCATGCGGATAACTGCAAACAAATTTATGGCACTGTGGAATTTTCCCAACTGTGTGGGAGCCATAGACGGCAAACACATACGAAAAAAATCACCTAATAACAGTGGATCCTTGTTTTTTAATTATAAGGAGTATTATTCGATGGTTTTGTTGGCGATTGTCGATGCAGATTGCAAATTTCTGGCAGTAGATGTTGGGTCACATGGCAGGGAGGGGGATGCAGGTAACTTTAAATACACCGAGTTATTGAGGAAAAGTTTTTATCTCAAACTATTCTTGGCAGGAATTTATTTAAAAAGCAACATTGGTCGCAGAATACAAAATATTGAATTCAAATTCCCAGCGCCTCACCCTCTTCCTGAATCAACAGAAGCTGTGCCTTGTAGTGTTGTTCCGATACGACCTTGTACTCGATACCTGTACTCTTTAAAAATATTGAAGAAAAGTATCGATGCCACAAATGTATCGGAGAGAAGTACTCGATACTTACTCATATCGAACTCATTGTAAGTACTTATGTCATGTGAAGAAAAACGGAATCGGTTCGAGTACTCTCCGACCAAAACATACCGAAAAAGTAGCCACAAGCAGTGTTGCCAGAACTTTTTCGATGAACCGGCTAAATTGGCAAATAAAACCGGCTAAAAACGGCTAAAATGTTTCAACTAAATTTCACATGTTTTATTTAAATAAATCACGAGTAAAAAGACTTTTTCTTGGAGAGAAGTTACAAATTCGAGCCGGAAAAAATTTTGCCAGCAAGAAATTGCAATTAGGAAAAAGATATGATTGTGGCACATGGTTGGATTTTTTGTCGACGATAATTTGAATAAACAAGTTCGTTAAATTTAAAAATTTACAAACTGGAGCGATTTTAAAATGAAAAATATAAGTTAATACTTGTTTACTTAATTAATTTAGTTAATTCCAATGATTTGAAAGGTACTCGAAAAAAAACTATTTATTACTATTATTTACTATCTGATATTTTGAGTGATAATTCTCGCTGGATTTTCGACGAACAAACCTATTGTCTTCCCTACAAGGCCTTTTCAGACTGACCGATTCTCAATACACTCAAATAGAAACCAATACACATAAAACACGCTGTAAAAATTTCCCTTCAATTTTAAGGCAGTAAAACAATGACCTTAAGTTAACATCAAGCGAGGCCATATGATGACAAGGGATGCAAAATCACAGTTACACAAAAGAACTGGTCAGATTTTTCAGAAATCCCTTTAATTCTAATGTAAAATATGATGCCAAAAGACTGCAGATCTCCCATTTAGATGACCGGTCATATGACCGTCAGATGTCTCGTAGGATTCCCAGCGAGTTTTGCTTTACATAAAAATTTGTGCTCTTTTATTTTCATTTTGACTCACTTCAGTGTTGGTTCCTTTAATTTAAGTTGGCATTCGGTTTTTTGGAATTTGAATAAGTTCTCAACAAAAACGTTTGTTTAAAAAAATACATATGTGTACATAGTGCTTGAAAATATCAATTTTTCCATTACCTTAAACCTTAGGGAGTGGGCAGAAGTTATGTTTTTTAAATTAGGCAGAATTGAATATGCGCTATCCGGGAAGACAATATCTACATGTAATATTTATTCTGTTTGTTGGCACTATATCCAAACACAAACGCATCTTAAGAGTCTTAACAGTGAAACAATTTCTTATTTTCTAAGTTTTCGAATAAAACTTCACACTTAAAATTAAGACATTTATAACAAACATTTTATGAAGAAAATCCCTTCTTCGTTTAAAATAAAAATAAGCGAAATCGGCCCAATTTCATACAATCCTGCCTGACATGAAAATTTTCTCCACGATAAGGCTAGTAGCTTTATTAGCCAACTTAAAGTGGTGCAAAAACCACAACAGTATGATTCATATATTGTCAGAACCGTAATTCAGAATTTTTGGAAAGCAAGTAATAATTTAATCGATAATTCGATACCCACCTAAGTACTTGGGGGAAGGATTCGAGTACAAAAAGTACTCAGTACTTGAAGGAAGTATCGAGTAATTACTTGTAGTTACTCGTATCGGAACAACAGTAGTGCCTTGTGTGTTTGTCGGAGATGAAGCCATATCCTAGAAGGCTATCACTATCTGATAAATCTAAAGCTGTATTCAATTATCGTCTTTCTCGAGTACGGAGAACCACGGAAAATGCTTTTGGAATATTGTGTGCATATTTCCGAATATTTTTCCAGCCAATCGCAACCGCACCAAAAGTTACCAACAACCTCATCACTAGTTTATGTATATTGCATAACATTTTACGAGAGGCCAATATTCCCCTTCCAACGCAAATTACAAACAGTGATATACTACCTCTACCAGAACCCAATTTAGTACCACTGTCTCAAAATAATACCCGAGGAGGTAGTAGATCAACACAGATACGCGAAGAATTTAAAAAGTATTTCAATGGTATTGGCGCGGTGGAATGGCAGGACCATTATTGTGTAAATAATTTAACTTATTTTATAAATCTAACACTTTGTTACTTTACAGTTGTCCCCGAAATAATAGGAGTGTGATACTTTGACCAGGTTTGACTATTTTTCTTTTGTTTGTTTAATGTTTATTATTTTTTTAAAAAAGTCCAGCTGGTAGTACAACAAACACCATACAAATTAACATTTCAAACTTTGTTGACAAATAATAAAAATCATGCGAAATTTCACCAAAATTTCAATTTTTGTAATAAGGTTTGTAATCAAAGCATCGCATTGTGGTCAAAGTATCGCACTCCTACTATTTCGTGGACAACTGTATGTATATATGTACAAACATAAATTGTTGAATTTTTGTGTTATGCCTTGTAGTCTTAGCACTACAAAAAATGAGTAAGTAAAAATCACAATATAACGTAACATAAATAGAATAAAGATTCGTATTATATAGAAAAACATATAGACGTAACAGGGGTTGACATGTTAAAATAAAGCTTGCACCCTTGACTATAAGCGTGTTAAAATTTTCTTGAATTGGATCACCCACTTGGACACAATAACTGGAAATCATTGGGCAAATAGCTAAACAGTACCCGTCACACATTTACAGAAAAGTGCATATTGCAGACTGAATTTATTAATAAATTAGTTACCGAACATTAAACATTTAGGTTCTAAAAGAAAGCTTACACCCTTGACTACAAGCGTGTTAAAATTTTCTTGGATCGGTTCACCCATTTGGACACAATAACCGGAAATCATTGAGCAAATAACTAAACATTCCCATCCAAATTCGGCCACTTTACTTTTTCCATACACTTTTTTCATTTTGCTGGTAATGATTCTGAATTTATTTAGCACATGTACGCACCCGTTTTCTGCAGAGCGTCTCCTATTTCATTCCACAATCTTTGTTTTGCTTGAGTGTGCCTATATCCCTCGGAGCTTTGATTATATAAACACTCATTGCTTTTAAAAATGTTTTCAATCGAAGACATTGCATAAAAACGACTGAACTGCTGTTGAAGCTTATTGTTAAACAGAATCCAGAGAAGCGAACAAAGAATGCCTTACAGAGAAACTAATGTAGAATGCCTAAATAAGTACATACTTATTTATATTAAATTGAAATCAGAAAATGTCTTAAAAGATTTATCAAAGATATATTTAGGTATATAGATTTTACTTCCTCACTCTTGTACTTCACTTCCATGACCGACTTCAACTTCGCTGCAAATTGAACAAAGCAAAACATGATTTTTATGCGAGACTAATTTCCACAGAAAGTAACGGTAGAAAGAATTTTTGGATATTCATTCTATTTTTCAGCTGACAACGATGCAGCGTTCTACTTTGCATTACCCGAAATTAAACAAAAAAGCGAAATAAAACAAATATTTTAGGACATTCTACTTTGCATTACCGGCAATGCCTGAAAGAAGCGAAAATATTCGAAGGCTATGCCTTCTAGAACACGTTACCACTGAAAGCGATTACCAATTTTTTACTGGGTAGCTACAACCTGCATTAGGTTTTGTTTCGGGTGTATTTCGTGACTTTTTTATAGCATCGTGTAATTATGCAGCAATATTTAATTTTACTTCTTATAATCTTTATGGGCTGTGGGAAAAACATGTTGCACATGTAATTCTTTGACTGAGAAATAACTAAAAAATTGCTCTCCACAATTAGACTTGCAAATGACTAATATTAATTGGAACGACAACACACTTATGTACATAGTACATACATACATACATATGTATTTCTACATATAAAGAGTAGGTATGAATGTGCATATGTACATATGTATTTGGGTAAATTGATCCGTTTCCATCAGAAATATCTGTTCGATGTGAGCTTTATCAATTCATTATCGTTAAATAAGCAATGTTGTGTTCCAGTAAAATGGCCCATCCAACTTATGGTGTTTTAATGATAATTTAATCGGTACTCATAGCTTGTGACTGAATTGAGTGTTGCTTACTCGAGTGCTTGAGAGGTCGTCGATGCCTGATACGGCTATATACAGGGTGTCCCAGAAGTAATGTGCCAAACTTTAGGGGAAGGTAGGTGGGGGGGGGGGTGAGCTCCCTGATAAACAAAAAAATTTCAGGTAAAAGTGTCACCCTTTTTGAAATATTTACATTTTTTCGAATTAAAAAAAAAATCGTGCCTTTTCATGTGTTTTCTTATACTGCAACTACAAACCGGGCAATACTTAGTAAATTTTTTATGTAAAATACTTCCAGATAGTTGCCTCTCCATACTCAAATGCAATGTAGTTAAAATATATTAAGGAACCTCATAAAATTAGGACTACTTCTGGATTTTTAACTTTTTGATATTTTCTTCCCCAACTTTGACTATCTCGGGTGAAAAAAAAAAATGTACTGAGCTATAACTTTACATTACACAAAAAAATTGCTCAATTAATAAAGATTTCAGAAAGGTGCCACACTTACTGTTTTGAATAGAAAAAAAAAAGTTAAAGACGCTTTTGTGGGTAAAGAACTGAGACACGCTATAATGTATTTGATAGATTTAAATTGAATTTGCTCTTGTTACCGTCAAATGACATGCTAAGTAGTACAAAGGTACATAATTACTTGCTTCTGACATTATTTTATGTTACTTACCGGAATTCGGACTAGAGTCAATAACAAGGGCTATATCTATCAATATTTTTTGTGAAGCATGGATTCACGTGAAATAAAATATACATGAGTCGTTTGAAGAGAAATTTATTCATTTATTGATAAAATATGCTCAAATTGGCGACCTTCTACTCTAATACAAGCTCGGCACCTTTTAAGAAAAGACGCTTTTAGAGATCTTAAACTCAATTGGGCTATCTCAGCAGCAGCTCCATTTATTTGTTCCCGCAAATGCTCTTCGTTTTGAATTGTTTTTGAATAAATTTTGTCCTTAAGACAGCCCCAGTAGAAAAAATCTAATGGATTCAGGTCTGGCGATCTAGCGGGCCACGTGATTGGCCCGTATCGTCCAATCCATCGGCGAGGATAAGTTTCGTCTAAATGAGCTCTTACTTCACGCCCGTAGTGAGCAGGGCACTCGTCATTTTGCAGCCATAGTCTCCGCCGCAGGTTTAAGGGTACATCTTCCAAAAGAGTTGGAAGCCGTTCCTGAAGGAACTCTAAATAACTGTGAGA